CCCGAGGACAGGGCCGATCGGTCGACGCGCGGATTTCGGCGTCGTTGACGTCGTTCCAGGCGGGCGTGAATGTGACCCCGGTCTTCGCGGCGTTCATATTTGAGGCCGCTTTGGACCTCGATTCAGCGACCTCGCGGATTCTTCGCGCACCATCCAGCGCGTACGACCTTTGAATCTCGGAGACTGCTTCGTCCACGTCCTCCATCTTGATGAGTGGCGGCGCGAACTCGGCGTTGTACGCCCCGGCGCGCGAAGTGGACGTGCGCGCCTCGCCGTCGTCGGCGTCGTCGTCGGCGTCGTCGGCGGAGCCGTCCGTCGCCCGGTAGCGCGACGCGCGCGTGTTCGCGTTCGCGCCCAGAAGGTCCGGTCGCGTGTTGGACGCCGACGGCGCGGCGCGGGGCGCGTGGCGCCCCAGCAATGGGACCGGCACTCCCATCAGTTCCCGCACCCAGCCGTCCGACAGCGTGCTGTCGACGACGACGACCGCGTGCGGCGAGTCCCACGCGTTGGACATGTCGAAGCCGTCGGCGACGCCGAGGCGCTCCGCCGCGGCGCCCGCGAGCTCCTGCGTGAGGCGCTCCATCGGGTCGGCGCCCACGAGCGGCTCCGACCGGGGCGGCGCGTCCCGCCCGGCGAGCGGAGCGAGCCGCGCCGCCGCGACGGCGGCGGCGCTCGGCCGCGCCGCCGCGACGCCGCCCGGCGCCGGCCGCGGCACGTGCGGGTAGAATCGATGCGCGTTCTTCCACGCGACCATGCCCGGCGGCGCCGCGGGCGTCGGCGCCGCGGGCGTCGGCGGCGCGCGCGGCGCGAGCGGCGCGAGCTGCATCGGCGGCGGCTGCACGATCGGCGCCGGCGCGCTCGTCGCCGGCGCCGGCGCGCTCGTCGTCGCCAACGGCTCCAGGCGCACGCGTGCGCTCGTCGCGTCCGGCGACGGCAGGCGCGCGGTCTGGCCATCTTCCCCGTCGGAAAGGGCGTCCAGCGCGAGCGCCATCGGCCCCGCGACGCCGTCCAACGAGCGCCTGCGGCGCTGGAACGCGCTGCCGCGAGAGTCTGGCGCACGAGGAACGCCTCCGGCGGCGTCTCGCTCGCGCGGCGGCGAGTCGGGGGACGACATCGTCGCGCTCTCCCCGCCAACACCGGCCATGCTTGAGGTCAGCCTCGCCCAAAAACTGATCGCGCAGACTTCGCGCAGCGAAGGCGCGCCGCGACGCCGCCTACACCTTTACGGTCGCGTACGCGCGCGGGTCGCGCAAGAGGCGGAGCATCTCGAGCGCGGAGCACGGCGAGCCCCGCTTCGCGGCGTCGAGGATGAGAGAGACCGTGGAGCGGTCGGTGAGGTCGTGGAGCTGGTGGATGCCCTTGGTGTGGCGGGGTGAGCTGAGCTGGGCGACGATGTCCGCCGGCGCGCCTACCACGATGGCGTATGGTATCCCGTACCAGACCGCGAAATTGGACTTGTCGTCCTCGAAGCCCCAATAACAGCCTTCGTTGACCAAACCACGCCGGAGTCCCGCTTGGTATCGCTTGCCGAGGTTCGACGCCACGACGTCGAAGTGGTTTTGGGAGGCGAAGCCGAACCCCAGGTGCTCAGCCAGGCAGTACAGCATGGACCGGTGGACGTCGTAGCGGAATTGGTTGTACATCGTGCACAGCTCGCCGCGGGACGTCTCGACCGTGAAGGCCACCAGGACGGGCAGCATCGTGTCGCCCGACTGCGTCGTGTTGACGAGGGCGACGAGAGTCATCGTGGAGCGCGAGTGGAGGTCGGGGAAGGCGCGCGGCATGACCTGGCGGCGCGAGCCGCAGATCTGCCGCGTGATGGCCGCGACGGCCATGTCGAACTCCTCGCGCTTTAAGGACGACCCAGTTTGCCGGCCGAGGCGGTTCAGCATGGCGTACGCGCAGCGCGCTAACCACTGGAGGGCGGAGGCGTAGAGCGCCTTCCGCGACGTCGCCGGCGCCTTCTCGAAGTAGACCGTGCAGGCCTGGATCGGGTCCGTGACCTCCTCGATGATAGCGATCTGGCCGAGGATGCTACCCGCTTCCGCGATGCCCACGGCGGCGTCGTCCTCGAACATGTCGCGCGCGTGCTCCTGGGCCATGCCCGACAAGGCCGCGGCCGTGCGGATGCCCGCGCCCGCCGCGATCATGGCAAAATGTCGCGCGCAGACGCCGTAGCCATCGACCGTCGCCGCCTGCAGGTATTCCTCGATGGCAGGGTATATATGGCGGATCGCCGCCTCCTTCTCGACAGTCAATCTTTCCAAAGTCTCGCTTCCGGTGCGACCAAACAGCATAGGTTTATTTCGGAGACCGGCTAGATCGCGAGACATCGCTGTCGGAGTGACACCCCTCACTTGGTGCCAGCAGCCTCTCGTCAAGGCGAGGCAAGATCTAGGCAAGGGAGGTGCAATAAAATTGGGTGCCGCTCTCCGGAGCACCGCGCGCCGCGTGGCAGGCCCGCGTCGCGCCGTCGCCGAGGGGCAGCGCGGGCACGGCGAGGTCCCGCGTCGGCGCGAGGTGGCGGTCGCCCGGGCCCGGGCGCGCGGGAATCGGGCCGTCGCGGTCGCGGTCGTCGTGCGTGAACGTCATAGCCGCGTGTCCCCGCTTCCAGGCTAACCTTACGTCAGTCATCCCCCCAGCTCGCCATCCTCCCGAAGATGTCCTGCGTCTTCGGCGGCGGCGTGGCGGACTTCTCCCGCGGCGCGGGCGGCCCGGGCTTCTCCGGCGGCGCGGCCTCCTTCTTTTCGGCGGGCGTCGGCGCGCCGTGGGATCGGCCGTCGTCGGAGAAGCGGCCGAGCGAGTCGAGGTCCGCGACGCCCTTTATCCGCTCGGGCGTCCGCGGCGGCGGCCAGACCGGCGCCGCGGCGGCGGCCTCGGACCGCGGCGGCGGCCAGGGCTTGGGGTTCCCGAAGCCCGAGCCGCCGGAGCCGCTCCGGTCGTCGCCGCCGGAGCCGCGCCGCTCCGGCGGCTCCGGCCCGCGCGCGCGCCCGCCGCCGCCCGTCGCGGCGGCGCCGCGGCGCACGTCGCTGCTCGCGCCGCCGCCGAGGCCGTGGCTGATCAGGCGGGTGGCCACGGGCTGGGACCCGGCCGTCGGGTCGCGGCGGACGCGGTCGACGGCGCGCGACCGGTCCGCCGCCTCGCGCGTCGCCGTCGCGTCGCGCCGCTCGACGCCGCGCCGCTTCGCGGCCTCGCGCGCGAGGTACGCGGCGCACTCGCGGGCGACGCGCTCGGCCTCGACGGCGTCGGCGTCGAGCGCGGCCTGGAGCCTCCGCTTCTCGGCGACGGCCGCGCGCTTCGCGTCGGCCTCGGCCCGGGCCTTCTCGGCGGCCTCGGCCTCGGCCTTGCGCTTCGCGACGCCGCGCGCCTTGGCGTCGGCGACCATGGCCGCGCGCCGCGCGGCCGCGTCGACGGCCTCGCGCGCGGCCGCGGCCGCGGCCGCCGCGGCGTCGGCGTCGCGCTGCCGTTCGGCCGCGGCCGCGCGCTCCGCCGCGGCCGCGCGCTCCGCCGCGGCCTTGGCCTCGCGCGCCGCCGCGGCCCGCTCGCGCCGCGCCTCCTCCGCCGCCTGTTCCGCCTTGCGCCGCGCCGCGCCGAGCTCGCGCGCCTCTTCGAGCGTCGGCTTCTTCGCCTCGGGGGGCGCCGGCGGCGCCTCCCGCTTCGGCGGCGCCTTGGGCGGCCGGGGCTTCGCGCGCGCGTCGCGGGACGCCTCCTTCAGGAGAGCGGACCGCGTGTTCGAGATCTCCGGCGGCGGCGGCCGGGCCTCGCGCTCGTGGAGGTCCTCGGCCTTGGGCGCGGCGGGCCGCGGCTCCTTCCGGGTTGGGGGTTGCGGCCGCGCGACGTCCGCGGCGCCCGCGGCGCGGAACGCCTCGGATCGCGCCGACGGCGTCGGCGGCGCGGGCGGCGGCGCGCGCGCGCGCGCCTCCTTCCCGGCGTCGTCGGCCGGCGGCGGCGCGTCGCGCGGCTTCGCCGCGGCTTTCGCGCGGCGCCGCTCGGCCGTCGGCGGCGCGGCCGTGCCGTGGCTGAAGGGGCACGCGAGGCCCTTGTCGCAGCTGCCCTGCTTCCAGAACCGGCAGGGCGGCGGCGCCTTGGGCTCGGCCGCCTCGGGCTCCGCCGCCGCGGGCGCCTCGGCCGCGTCGGCCGCGGCGGCGTCGACGACGGCGACGGGCGCGTCCGACAGCGGGTCCAGCGACAGCACGATCGCCGCGCCCGCCTCGGCCGCGTCCGGCCGCCGCGCGCCCTTGGCGTCGCCCTTGCCGCGGCCGCGGCCGCCCTTGCCCTTGCCGCGGCCGCGGCCGCCCTTGTCGCCGCTCTTGCCGCGGCCGCCGCGGCCGCTATCGCCCTTGCCGCGGCCGCTATCGCCCTTGCCGCGGCCGCTATCGCCCTTGCCGCGGCCGCTATCGCCCTTGCCGCGGCCGGATTCGCCCTTGCCGCGGCCGGTTTCGCCCTTGCCGCGGCCCTTTGCTGCCGCGCCGCGCCCGGCCTTGCCCTGGCCCTTCCCGCGGCCGCCGCGCCGCGCGGGCGCGTCCGTTGACGTCGTCGCTCCTGGCTTGAAGTCGCTGGCCGCCGCGGAGAGGTCGCTCTTTGCCGCCTGCGTGATCTCGAGGTCGCCCATGGCAGCGCTGCGCAAGCGTCGCGGCCCGACAATGGACCGGCGCCTCGCAGCTTCACGGCTTCGCGATGGTTCAACAGATGTTCAACATACCGGGAGGCTGAGGATCTTGCATTCATCATCGGCGGCACGCAGCCCCGCGCGCAATGGGCACCTCCTTCGCGGTCGTCTTCCAGACCGTGGGCCTGGCTGCACTCTTGGAGGCGGAGCGCGCCGCCCGGTCCATCGCGGCCCACTCGCCGGCGCTCGTCGCGGCGAAGCGCCTCGAGCTCGTCGCCGTGGGCGACGCGGCGACGCTGCGCGGCCGATCCGCGGGCCTCACGCGCGCCGTCGACGTCGCGGCGCTCGTGCCGGCGCCGCTCGCGGCGCGCGTCGCGGCGGCGGCGCGGCGCGGCGGCGGCGCCTGCCGCCGGGCGACCTGCGCCGTCGACGACGTCCGGGCCGTCCGCGAGGCGCGCGCCGCGGCGCTCCCGGCGCTGCTCCGGGCCTTCGCGCCCCTCCTCGCGCTCGACGCCGACAGCGTCGCCTGCGGCTCCCTGGAGCCGCTCCTGCGCTGGGGCGCGGCGACGCCCTTCGACGTCGCCCTGCGGCCCGTGCCCGCGGCCGTCGCGAAGGGGCCCGCGCGCGCCGTGCCGCGCCGCGTGCCCGAGTTCAACGGCGGCTTCCTGCTGCTCCGGAACACGTCCGGCGCTCTTCGCTTCCTCGAGCGCTGGCGCGCGCTCTACGCGCGGTCCTCGAGGACGTCGAAGCACCCGACGTCGGACCAGCCGCTGCTCCGCGCCGCGCTCTGGGAGACGGGAGCCGACTACCGCGAGCTCGGCCGGTTTTACGGGTGTCCCGCGTGGGCCGACCGCGCGGCGACATGCGCGGGCTTCGCGCCGGACGCGGCGGCGCGGGAAGCCCTCGCGCGCAAGAAGCGGCAGAAGCTCGGCGGCGCGCACGGCGCGCTGTGGCGCGCGCACGTCCGCCGCGTCGACCGCGGCCCCGAGGACTGCGTGCTCCTCCACGGCGCGCACCTAGCGTGACTTAAGGACCCAGAGCGCCTCGGACTGCCGCGCCTCCTCCACGGCGCGCACCTAGCGTGACTTAAACACCGCGACCCAGAGCGTCTCGGCGCCGTCGTCGAAGGTCAGGTCGAGGCCGGCGACGGCCGGGTCGCCCGCGCGTATCGCGGGGACGTCCAAATGGAGCACCTCGAGCTCGAGGGACGGCCGCGCGGCGGCCGCGTCGAGGAATTTCCGGCTCTGGCTCGCGCCGGGGGCTAACGCTAGAACTGCGCGCGCGGTCCGCCGGGGCCCGGCCATCGCCAGCCGCCGGTCCATTTCCGCCGCGAGCGCGGCGTGCCCGGCGACCATGGGCGCGAGCTCCGCGCCGACGATGAGGTCCATGGGCTCCGGCGCGCACCGGCCCGCCGCGACGTCGTCGGCGTCGGCGTCGTCCTCGTGGCCCCAGCGCACGCGCCGCACGGACACGTCCGCGGCCGGGTGCCGTTCGAGAAACCGCGCGCCGTTCCACGCGGCGAGCCCGACGAACTCGTCGCTCAGGACGACGCGCCGCGCGCCGTAGGCCGCCAGCGCCAGCCCGAGGAACCCCGTGCCCGCGCCGAGGTCGAGCACGCGGCAGTCCGCGAGCGGAAAGGGCGAGCGTTCGCCGAGCCACTTCGCGAGCGCGACCGCGCCGGGCCAGACGAGACCGCCGAGGCCGTCGGCGCCCCGGGGCGACTGGACGACGTCGAAGGCGACGCCGCCGGGCGTCGCGAACGCGCAGCGCTCGCCGTCGCCGCCGAAGTCGCCGTCGCCCGGCGCCGCCGGCCGGAAGACGTGCACGAGCACGGACCCGACGGTGTCGCTCGCCTCGAGGACCATGTCGCAGGCCTCGAGGGCGCCGGCGAAGCGCGCCTGGCCGCAGGACCGCCGGTCGTTGGCGAGCACGACGCGCTGCGCCGGGTCGCGCGCGAGCAGCCGCAGCGTCGACAGCAGCGGCGCGACGAGCTGCGATTTGTAGACGACGTCCGCGGCCACGACGACGTCCGGCGCGAACGCGTCGAGCCGGCGTCGCGCGCCCCAGGCGAGGGGCGCGACGACGACGCGCGGGCAGGACGCCGCGTTCGCCGCCGCGTTGGCCCGCAGGAGCGGCAGCGCCTCGGGCAGGTCCGTGAGCGTCGTCGACGCCGCGCCGGCGGCCGCGGCGACGAGCCCCGGGAGCCCCGCGCCCGCGCCGAGTTCGAGGACGGCCCTGCCCCGCACGAGCTCGGGCCGCGCGGCGAGCCACTCGCCCAGGACCTTGCCGCCGGGCCAGACCTCGTTGCCGAACTCCGTGAAGCCGGCGTCGCCGAGGGCGCCGGCGACGACGACGTCGACGCCGCCGACGGCGACGCGGCCGGCGCTGCCGTCGCCCCAGAGCTCGTCGTAGTCGAGCTCCAGCGCGGCCATAATCCAAACGTCTCGAGGCTGCGATCGCGACCTTGATGCGCGACAGTGTCAACACGCAACTCCTTAATTGATCGAGTGCATCCCTTCTGTCAAAGGCGTGAGGTGTGCTCCATCGCAGGGCTCGCCTGCTGTAAAATTTACGGCATGCTCGACCATGAACTGCATCGTTCCCTTGCTAGGAATGCAGCAGCCCGCGTCTGCAGCCCGTGATGCTGCGCGTCGCGGTCGCCCTGCTGCTGGTGTGGACAACGAACAGCGCGAAGAAGGCGCGCACGTGGGGGCGGGACAAGCGGGTCGAAGAATCGGCGCGGGCGCGGGCGCGCGAGAAGCTGCGGCGGTCCTGGCACCCGAAAGTGCAGAGCCTCGCCATGCCCGCGCGCGGCGTCGACGCCTGCGGAGGCGACGGCGGCGGCGCGTGCGCGTCCGATCTCATCCGCGCCCTCGAAGCCTGTGCCGGCGAAAACGGCGCGGTCCGGCCCGAGACCTGCGGGAACCTGTGCCCCGCGGGCACGGGCACGTTGACGTTGAAGGACGCGCTCCTGGCGACGCCGGCGGCCTTCGCGCACCACTCGCACCGCGTCGGCCTGCCGGACCTCCACGACATGAAGGCGACGGCCTCCGTGGCCGCGCGCCGCCGCGACGGGAGCGACTTCGACGGGAAGCGCCGCGGCGGCGCGAAGTGCCTCTTCGTGACCCTCCGCGAGCCCGCGGCGCGACTCGAGTCCGCGTACCGCCACTCGCAGCTGCGCTTCAAGCCGCGCCACGACCCACCGGCGTTGGACGGCGTGCTCGAGGCCTGGCGCGGCCGCGTCGCCGGCGGCGCCGCCGCCGAGGCCGAGCTCCCGCCGCAGATCCTCGTGGACTTCTTCCTCCCGCAGGCGGCCTACGTGAAGCCCGCGCCGCCCCACTGCGCGGCGGGCGACCTCACGGTCCACGTGCTGTGCACGACGACGCTCGCGACGGACTGGGCCGCCGCCGCGACCGCGAAGCTCGGCCTCGCGGCGCCGCCGCGCATCGACCCGGCGCACTCGAAGCACGTCCGGAGCTCGGGCGCGGCATCGACGAGCCCGGAGAAGCGCGCCTACGTCGCGCGCGTCCAGGGCCGGTCGAAGATCGCCAACGCGTCGACGCGACGCTGGATCAACGACGACCTCTACCCGACGGACACCGCGCTCTTCCGCCACTTCTGCGAGCCCCGCATCGCCGCGGCGACGGCCAACGGCACGCGGTCCTCGCTCCAGGAGGCCATGCGCGGCGCGCCGGGCGGGAAGCGCAGGGCCCCGCTCCCCGCCGAGGTCCAGGCGTCGCTCCGCCGGAGACGACACCCGCCCGCGGGTAAAAAAAGGGCACTCTTAGGCGCTCAGGGGCGGCAGCTTCGCGGCGGCCTCGCGCCGGCGCCTCCGCTGCTCCATACTGCAGTGAATCTGCCAGCGATCCCGCCTGCCGCACCGCAGCGGAACCGGCGACCGATGACCGCAGCCCGCGCCGACTTCGCATCGGGTATTAGTGGGGGGAGGGTGGTGCGCGCGCGCGCCCGCGCCGCCGCGTCGCCTCGGGGTCCGCCGGCTCGGCGCCTAGCAGCGCTGCATCTCGAGGCCCTCTTTGATGTAGTAGTAGACGTTGCCCTTCTCGGACCACTCGCGGAAGCAGATGCAGCCCGCGTCGTTGAAGTCCTCGTTGATGAAGATCTCGCACTCCTTCGACTTGCCGAGGAGGAACTTGGCGGCCGCGGGCGCGCCGGCCATGAACTCCTTGATCTGCTCCTGGGGCACGCCGGCCTCCTTCTTCGACTTGCGGATGCCCTGGAAGTAGGACTTGAGCCAGCCCTTGAGCGTCGCGGCGTCGAGGTCGAAGGGCTGGAGGTGGAACGTGTGCTCGATGGCGTCGACGGTGACGACGGAGTCGTCGAGCTCCTCGGCGCCGCCCTCGGCGGAGGCGTTGCCGCCCGTGTTGATCTCCTCGCCGCCCTCGGTCATGAGCCGGCTCTGGACCTTGACGAGCGCCGGGCACCCCTCGACGGGCTCGGACGGGAACGCGTCGGAGCAGACCTCCTTGCCGCTGACCTTGCAGACCCAGATCTCGAGGCCGCCGCGGAGGCGGAGCACGAGGTGGAGCGTGCTCTCCTTCTGGATGTTGTAGTCGCTGAGCGTGCGCCTGCGAACGCGCGCGCGGTCCGGCGGCCGGCGCGCCGGCGCTTCGGACGCCGGCGGACGCGCCCGTCCTCGAGCTGCTTGCCCGCGAAGATGAGGCGCTGCTGGTCCGGGGGGATGCCCTCCTTGTCCTGGATCTTCTGCTTGACGTTGTCGATCGTGTCGGACGGCTCGACGTCGAGCGTGATCGTCTTGCCGGTGAGGGTTTTCACGAAGATCTGCGCACGGGGACGAGCGCGTGAGCCCGCGGGCCGCGCGCGGCGCGGCCGACGGCGGCGGGTCCCCGGGTTCCGCGTCGGTCGGCGCGCGCGCCGCCGAAACCTCTCTCCGGCGATGCGGCGGGCTGCGCGCGGCGCGGGGCCCGCAGCCGCGGCGCGGGGCCCGGGGCTGAGGGCTGCGCGCTCTCTTGTCGCGTCGCGGCGGCCGCGACGGCGAAACTGGCGTCGGACGCGGCGTCGGACCTGCATGGTTTGGTGCTGCTCGAGTTCCTCGCTGATTCGAGATGCTGCGGCACCTCGCGCGCGGGCGCACCGGCACAGGACCGTAGGCCTGTAGACGCGGACGCGCCCCGAGGACTGCCCCGGCGTACGCGTCGGCCCCTACCTCGGTAGCCGCCCGCGGGCTTAGCGCGCGCTCGTTTTCCCCCTCCTACCAGTGGAGGGCGCTCTTGTGGCGGAGCATGGTGTCGGAGAGGCGCGCCAGGAGGAGGTCCTGGTCGCGGCCCGGGCTCGCGGCCTGGTGGAACCTCGAGCTCGAGTCCGAGCTCGACAGGTCGCGGTCGACGGAGTGGAAGAGGGCGGACTTGAGCGCCGGCAGGGACGCCGGCGCGCCGTCGCAGTAGGAGCTCGAGCGCAGGCGCTGCCGCTTGGCCACGAAGGCCGCGACTTTCGGCAGAGCGTAGTCCAACGCGACCTTGGACACGCGCGTGAGCTGCCAGTAGCAACTCGCGGAGAAGTCGGCCACGGGCGCGATCTCGAGGAACAGGTCCATGGTGCCCGAGTCCACGTCCTCCTGGAGCTGCGACTTGTTCCGCAGCACCTGCAGCGTCGCGTTCACCTTCGACATCGACGGCACCTTGCGGCAGTCCGCGCCGTAGCCGCCCAAAGCCTTCAGCGCGTTCGTCCAGCGGCAGAGCAACAGGTACCAGCCCGAGACCCCCTCGGGCGAGTAGTCGACCATGTCCGTGAACTCGCCGCCGGAGCTGTCGACGACCGAGACGCCGACGACGGTCCGCGCGGCGAGCGCCTCGCGCATCTCGTGCACCTGCGTGGACATCAAATCTTCAACCTGACTTCAATGTTCGCGTCATTCGACGGATGGGAATATCTGCTGTGCTTCGAGACCTCGCCGAGAGAAAACGACTCGTCCAAAAATCAGCCGAATCGACCGAGATAGAGAGTTCAGAAATTTGGTGGGGACCCCCCACACCAGTGGTTGATTTCGACACCTTCGTGCACGGGCATGTTGTTCACGTAGCAGCCGTCGCAGTGGAGGTCGCCGCTCAGCGGGTCCCGCGCCGGCGGCAGCAGCTCGGCGACGCTCATCGACGCGCGGCACGCGAAGACGAGGTCGCCCGTCAGCCGGACGTCGCACCGCTGCTTCGTGAGGTTCGTGTTGACGCAGAAGAAGGGCAGCCAGCAGTCCTCGACGTCGCGCGCCGCGAAGCGCCGCCGCCGCCGCCGGCGGCGCGCGCGCTCGTCGTCGGAGGCCGACCCGTCGTCGTCGGAGTCCGAGTCCTCCGACTCCGAGCTGTACGTCGACGCGTCGCGGCGGTCGGCCGGCGGCGTCCACGCGAGCGCGAGGCCGTAGCGCACGGCGTTGGAGAAGCCCTTGCCGTCGAAGAAGGACACCAGGGGGAGCGTCGCCTCCCAGAGCAGCGCCGCGGGCGACGTGAGCTTCCGCGCGATGTGCGCGGCCGCGAGCGACGTCGCCTCGAGGCGATCCGCGGTCCGCTTCGGCAGCGCGTACGCGGCGGCCATGAAGGCGCCCTGGCTGCAGCCGCCGACGATGTCCGGCGGCAGGCCGCCGGCCTCGAGCGCCCGCAGCACCTGTGTGGAAATCAAATCTTCAACCCGACTTCAATGTGCGCGTATGCGACCGTTCTGACGCGAGGTTTTCTGCTGTGCTTCGAGAACTCGACGAGAGCAATCGATTCGTCCAAAAATCAGCCGAATCGATTTCGATTTGACCGAGATAGAGAGTTCTGAAGTTTGGTGGGGACCCCCCAAACCAGCGGTTGATTTCCACACAGCGCAGCACGCCGAGGTGGCCGAGGCCCCGGCCGCCGCCGCCGCCGAGCACGACGCCGACGGCGCGGCCCGCCAAAATCCGCGCGGCGCGCGCGAGGTCCGAACCGTCGCCGACGACGACGTGGAGCAGGCGGGGCCCCCGCGCCGACGACGGCCGCTGGGCCAGCCACCGGCCGCTCCGCTTCGGGTTCGGGCCGCCGGCCTCGTGCGCGAGCAGCACGACGACGGACCGCGCGGGCCCGCGGTCGTAGAGCGCGCGCCGCTCCAGGGACCGCGGCGCCAGCGCCCGCGACCGCGCGCCGTGGGCGACGACGACGACCTTGTCCGCGTTGCCCAGCGCGAGGCGGCTCCAGTGGCGCAGGAACTGCTTCGGCGCGGCGCCGCCGCCGCGGTCGAAGCACTCCAGTACGACGAAGCGGCGCCGCTCCTCGCACTCGGCGAGCCAGGACGTCACGCGCCGCCGCCAGAGCAGCGGCGCGTCGCCGTGGCCGCCGCGGCGCGCGAAGGGGTCGCCGAACTTGGCCAGCGCCTCGCGCGGCCCGACGACCAGCGGCGGGCCCTCGCCGATGGCCTCGAGCGCGTCCGCGACCGCGGCCGCGTTGCGCGCGGCGGCGGCCGCGCCGGGCCCGTCGGCGCCGAGGAACGCGAGCGTCGACACCTCGTCGGCGACGTCCGCGCGGCCCCGGTTCCGTCCTAGATGCCCCGCGAGCTTCCGGAGCCATAAAGCGCCCGACCGCGCGTCCTCGAGCGCCTCCCGCGGCACGGCCACCAACTCCGTGTCGCGGACGCAGCGCGCGCCAAAGTCCAGCGCCGGCGCGCCCGTGAGCACCGCCTCCAGCCCGACGACGCCGCCGCGGCTCACGTCCTCGTCGTTTTCGCCCGCGCGCGAGAGCGCGACGCGCCCGCTGATGACGACGTAAAAGTGGGGCGGCGTCGGCGCGTGCTCCGCGAGCAGCCGCGCGCCGGCGTGGAGCCACTTGCGCGTCATGCCGCTCCGCAGGAAGCACCGCACGTCGCCCCCCATGGACTTGACGACGGCGAGCACGCCCTCGGCGACGGCCGCCGCGCCGCCCCCGCGGAGCGACCGCAGGGACGCCTCGCGGACGCGCGCGACGCGCACGCCGGAGCCCTCGCCGTCGGCGACGACCGTCAGCGCGTCGTCGCGCCTCGACCGCTCCTCGTCGAGAAACGCGAAGCCGCCGAGCACCGCGGGCGCCTCGACGCGGCGCCGCGGGTCGCCCGGCGCGCGCGCGCCGCCGACGAGCACGGCGCCCGACACGAGGACCGTCAGCGCGTCCGGGTCGAGCGCGACGACGGCGCCCGGCGCGTAGGCGTCGCTCGCCAGGCCGTCGAAATCGACCGCCGGCAGCGGCGCGACGTCGCAGAAGGACTCGTCGCGCTGGTGCGCGTCCGGCGCGCGGAGGAACTCGGACGTCGCGAAGCGCGCGACGCGGTGGAGCCGCGCGACGCAGCGCCGCGCGTAGCCCAAAATCGCGTCGGGCCACTGGAGCGCGACCTCCCGCAAATCCGCCGCGGCCAGCGCGCACGTCACCGTGCCCAGCCCCTCGCGGCCGCCCGCGACGACGCGGTACTCGCGCAGCCCGTCGTCGTCGGCACCGCCGCGGTCGTCGTCGGCACCGCCGGCGGCCCCCGCGGCCGCGACGACGACGGAGAACTTGCCGAGCGCCTCCATGGGGCCCAGCGTCGACGCGAGCTTCTCCCGCCGCGCGCGCAGCGAGCCGGAGCGCTCGTAGGGCAGCGTCTCCGTGGACCGGTCGCCGTCGTCGAGGTCCAGGCCGACCTGGGAGCTGCCCGACGTCGCGCGGCTGAGGGCGCCGCAGCGCCGCGCGTCGCCGCCGTCGTCGTCGTCGTCCGCCTCCTCGTAGAGCTCCGCGACGCCCGACACGACGAGCACGAGCGCGTCGCGCGCGGCGCCCCGCTCCAGGATCGTCGCGCCGTCGCGGTAGCGCCGCCAGGTCACGCGCGCGAGCACCGCGGCCCGCAGCGCCGCGGCGTCGCGCTCGTCGGCGCCGGGCGACCCGAAGAGGAACCCGAGATGCGTCGCGGCGAGCCAGCGCGCGGCCGCGCGCGCGTCCGCGGGCCGGAGCCGCGCGCCGCCGCGCCCGTCGTCGCCGGCCTCGTGGCGCCGGAACTCGGGCGGTTCCGGGAGCGCGTGCGGCTCCTCGTCGCCGTCGTCGTCGTCGCTCCACTCCACGGGGCTGTAGCACGCCTCGGCCTTGGCCGGCCCGCGCGCGAGGCGCCGCGCGAGCAGGAGCGCCCGCCGCCGCCGCCGCAGGCGCCGCACGCAGAGCGTCACGCCCGCCGTGGCGAGGAAGAAGATGCGGCCGCGCTTCGACGCGAGCGCGCGCCGCAGCAGCTTCTCGACCATCGCCTTGTTTTGCAGAGGCTCGCGCGCGGTTCGCGTGCGCCTTACGCGGTGTCGTACGCGAGCGCTGCTGCCTGTGAGAATGCACCAGCCTCCATCAACTACGCATGTGTGAGCTGCTTCTCGAGCGACTCATCGCGGTTGAAGGCCTCGTTGAGTTCAACACGAAGGGACCGCGGCGCCGAGAGGACTCGTAAGTGGACTCGTGCCCGCCACCAGCCCCACACACCAAAAGAAAAGGTCGCAGGAGCGACGATGTTGAGACCCGCCCTCACTCGAAGGTCGCGAGGCGCGCGTCGATGCCCGCGAGGAGGCGGACCCGGTGCTCCGAGTCCGCCGCGGAGAGCAGCGCCTCGTCGCCGACCTTGGTCACGGGCGTCAGGTCCGACGACGTCGAGAGGACGTAGGCCTCGTCGGCGTCCAGCAGGCTCGAGAGGCGGTGGACGCCCTCGTCGACCTCGTAGCCCGCGGCCGCCGCGGCTTCGAGCGCGAGCGCGGATGTCACGGACTCGAGCATGCCGAGCTCGCGCCACGACGGCGCGTGGACGACGCCGCCCTTCAGCCAGAGCACGGCGAAGTTCGGCCCGTCCAACACGACCTTGTCCTCGAGGGGCCCCGCGTCGTCCGCGCCCCACCCGCGGCCGAGCAGCACGGCGTCGTCGAAGCCCGCCGCGGCCGCGAGGCGCTTGCTGTGAACGTTGGCGCCGTAGGCGAGCCACTTGATCGTCGCCCAGTGCTCCGGCTCGAAGCCCGCGGGGTGCCACGGCGCGACGAGCGGGAAGAGCGTGCGAGACGCGTGCAGCGTCGTCGGCTGCCAGAGCGCGAACGTCTTCGGCGGCGCGTCGAGCGCGGCGCCCAGGTGGTCGCCGTAGCCCGGCGACCCGCCGCCCCGCGTGACCATGAGGCGCACCATGCCGCCGTGGCCGCCCCCGGCCGCGGCGTCCCGCAGGATCCGCTCGACGTCCGCGCGCGGCGGCAGCGGCAATTGGATCGCCGCGGCGGACCGCTCGAGACGGTCGAGGTGCAGGTGCACCGCGCGCGGCACCGGGCTGCCGTTCCGGTCCCCGACGACGCGCACGACCTCGAAGACGCCGTCGCCGCGCTGGAACGTCGTGTCCCAGACGCTGCAGGAGATCTTCGTCGCGTCGGCGGCGACGCCGTCGACGGAGGCGAAGGTGGAGAAGCCGCGCGCGCGGCGCGCGGCGGCGGACAGCGCGCGCAGCATGGCTCGAACAGTTGGGCGCGCGCGCGCGTCCCACTAGCCAGCTGCGAGGCCTGTGGGCTGTGAGAGCTCTCTCTAGCGCATTAGGCGACACACCCCGCCTACGCGCCTACCTTGGGCTCTGTGGCAGCGCGAGGCGCTCCGATGGCCGTCGTCTGTCGCACCCGTCGCCGCGCGCGCCGCAGGCCTCGAGCGCTATGCGGTGGCCATGGCATACGGTCCGGCTTGGGAAACTTAGACGCGCGCGGCGATCGGCTGAGACGCGCGGCGGCCAAATCCCGAAGCGGCGGCGGTCGCGCGAGCGGCGGCCCTTGGCGGCCGCGACGTCGCGAGCGAGCGGCCTCCGGCCGGCGCTCACGCGGTCTTGGCCTTGGCCGTGCCCTTGAGGGCGAGGAGCGCGAGGCCCGCGCCGACGGCGTCGAGGACGATAAGCGTCTTGTTGAAGGGGTGCGAGACCGCGTGCCACGGGGCCTCGCCGAGCATGCCCTCGTGGTGCATGTGCGTCAGCCCCGCGAGGCCCGTGCCCAGGGCGCCCACGAGGAGCGCGCCGGGGCGGAGCGCCGGGAACTTGAGCGCGGCGCCGTTCGCGAAACCGATGGCGATCCAGAGCATGCCCTCGAGGCGCGTCGTGAGCGTGAACGTGTGCACGAGGTTCGCGCCGCTGGGCTTCTTGGCGACGAGCTCCATGAGCGCCTAGGCGGTAATATTTCTTTACAGATGAGATTTCAGTTGTGATCAATACCTGGCAGGTCGACCCGGCGACGTCGAAGGCGCCGGCGATGGTGCAGGGCTCGAAGGTGCCGGCGGCGACGAAGCCGACGAAGAGGCCGTAGAGCAGGAAGAGGTAGCCGGAAGCGATGAGCTCGAGGAGGGCCTGGGGCGGGCCGTAGGAAACCTCAGTGGGAGCCATGGTCGGAGCGAGGGGGGGTGTGGAGTTCTTGAGACGATCTCCGAGAGCGATCAGCGTTGCTGTGTGGACTTGCAGTTGCAAAACCAGGTCGCGCTCATGTCGCTCTCCATGCACCCCTTGGCCGCGTCCTCGTCCTTTCGCCAGGCGGGCGTCGCGTTGAAGAAACGCCAGGCACCAGACCGCGAAGGTCGGCGCGGGGAGGAACGCCGCGGCGGCGACGCCAAGGCCAATCGCGACTCGCCCGCGCGCAAGCGCAGCATCTCGGGCTCGGGCGACGACGCGGCGTAAATAATTAGGCAATATCTCGCGCGTCGAGGCGCGCGAGATTCTCTATAGCGAGCTCGTTGCCCTTGGCAGCGGCGCGCTCCAACCAGAATCTGGCCTTGCCGAGGTCGACTTCCGTGCCTATGCCATCGTAGAAACAGGCGCCAAGGTTATGCTCTCCATCGGTATATCCTTGATTCGCCGCGAGCACAAAGCACCGGACCGCCTCTTCAAATTTCTCCACAGAATGAAGTAAAATCCCTAAATTGGATTGCGCGACCGCGTCGCCCCGATCTGCGGCCGTGCGAAACAGCTGCATAGCCTTCTTCTTGTCCAGCTTGACGCCACTCCCATCCCAGTACAATTTTCCAAGGTATTTCATCGCGTCCACATCTCCGAGCTCCACAGCGCGCAGGTAAATCTTCGCGGCTTTCTTATCGGATTTCACAAGGCCGAAGTCACCATAGCGGTACGCGTCTCCCAAAAACCTAATCGCTTCCGGCACGTCGTTCTCCACGTGGCGGCGAAGACGCGCGAGTGCTTCCGCATGGGTTTTTGCGCACGGTACACGACAGAGGGGACACGCCTCGAGTCCGATCTTGTCGTCGCACGATCGGCAGACCCTCCGGCAGCAACAGACGAGAAGCGCACCCGCAGTATTCACGTCCCACTCCTCGAGACAGATCGGGCACCGCGAGCCGTACCGCGCCGAGAGCGGCTCCCGCTCCGGGTTCGCCTCGCGTCGCACGCGGGCCGCCTCGTGTTCCGCCGCGATGCGCGCGCGGATCTCGTCGGCGTGCGACCGCGGCGCGGGGCCGTAGAACACCTCGCGCGGTGGCGACGGCGGGGGCGTCGGCGCCTCGGCGCGCGCCGCCTCCGCGGCCTGGATCTTCTTGCAGACCTTCCGATGGCCCCGGTCGCGCCAGTCGATGCGTTGGCAGTCCGTCGAACAGTAGGCCGTCGTGCCGCACCCTCGGCAGGCCTTGGCCTTGTCGGCGCCGCAGATCGTGCAGGTCTTGAGAGTGTCGAGTTTTTTGCCCCTCGCTCGGGCCATGCGATTCTCATACTCCAACTTCTTCTCCTGCCACGACATGACTTCGCGCGCGTCGCGAGCTCGTACGTCGTCCTCGTCGGACCTCAACAAGTCTCAGCAGGCAAAATCGCTCAGTCGATCCAGAAGCAGCGGCTCTACCGCGAGTGGGGCGTCGCCTCCGTGCGCGCGGTCGCGCGGATCAAGATCGAAGGCCTCGGCCTCATCGGCGCCCCGTCGTCGATCCCGCGGCCCGACTACGGCCGGGACGCGGCCGCGAAGCGGGCCCGCGACGCGGCCTACGCCCGCGCGGCCCGCGGCACCGGCGGGACCTTCGGCGTCGCCTACGAGCAGTAGCCGCCCTACGTCGTCGTGCCCTCTTCGTCGCCGTGCTCGCGTACGCCTCCGCCCTAGTCGTGTCCTCCCGTGACGCTTCCCTACGCCCCCCTTCGCTGTTCTCTCCCCCTTCGGTTCTTCCCTGCGCCGCGGCTAAGCAAAATCGCTCAAAATCTTAGCCCAGGCCTGAGCCCACGCCTAGAGCATCGCGTTCATGTCGTTCTCCATGCCCCCCTCGGCGGCGTCGTCGTCCTTGCGCCAGGCGGGCCTCGCGTTCAAGAACGCGAGGCACCAGACCGCGAAGGTCGGCGCGGAGAGGAACACGGCGACGACGACAAAAAGGTCAAGCACGACTCGCCCGCGCGCAAGCGCAGCATCTCGGGCTCGGGCGACGACGCGGCGTAAATATTGTTAGGCTATACTCGCGCGTCGAGCTCCGCGAGCTCCGCGAGCTCGTTTATAGCTTCCTCGCTGCCCTTGGCAGCGGCGCGCTCGAACCAGTATCTGGCTTTGCCGAGGTCGACTTCCGTGCCTGATCCGTACCTGTAACAGCAGCCAAGGTTATGCTCTCCAGCGGTCCAGCCTTGATCCGCCGCGAGCGCGAGGTACCGGAACGCTTCTTCAAATTTGTTCTCAGAATGAAGGAAAACCGCTAAATTGGATTGCGCGACCGCGTCGCCGCGATCTGCGGCCGTGCGATACAGCTGCTCCGCCTTCTTCTTGTCCAGCTTGACGCCACTCCCGGTCCTGTACAATCTTCCAAGCTGTACCGTTGCTTCCACGTCCCCGAGCTCCACGGCGCGCTTCAAAATTTTCGCGGCTTTTTTATCGGATTTCACGAGGCCCAACCGACCGCGGCCGTACGCAAGTCCCAAAAACGTAATCGCTTCCGGCACATCGTTCTCCACGTGGCGGCGAAGGCGTGCGAGCAGCTCCGCATGGGCTTTTGGGGCCGGTAATCGACAGAGGGGACACGCGCCGGTGCCGATCTTTCCCTCGCACGATTGGCAGACCATCCGGCAGCAACAGACGCGAAAAACGTTCCCCGTATTCACGTCCCACTCCTCGAGACAGATCGGGCACCGCGAGCCGTACCGCGCCGAGAGCGGCTCCCGCTCCGGGTTCGCCTCGCGCCGCACGCGGGCCGCCTCGTGTTCCGCCGCGATGCGCGCGCGGATCTCGTCGGCGTGCGACCGCGGCGCGGGGCCGTAGAACACGTCCCGCGGCGGCGACGGCGGGGGCGTCGGCGCTTCCGCCCGCGCCGCCTCCGCGGCCTGGATCTTCTTGCAGACCTTCCGGTGGCCCCGGTCGCGCCAGTCGATGCGTTGGCAGTCCGTCGAACAGTAGGCCGTCGTGCCGCACCCACGGCAGGCCTTGGCCTTGTCGGCGCCGCAGATCGTGCAGGTCTGGAGAGTGTCGAGCTTTTTGCCCCTCGCTCGGGCCATGCGATTCTCATACTCCAACTTCTTCTCCTGCCACGACATGACTTGGCGCGCGTCGCGAGCTCGTACGTCGTCACACTCTCGTCCCCGTGCCTCAACAGGCAAAATCGCTCCCCCTTCGGTCCTTCCCTGCGCCGCGGCTAAGCAAAATCGCTCAAAATCTTAGCCCAGGCCTGAGCCCACGCCTAGAGCATCGCGTTCATGTCGTTCTCCATACCCCCCTCGGCCGCGTCCTCGTCCTTGCGCCAGGCGGGCTTCGCGTTCAGGAACGCCAGACACCAGACTGCGAAGGTCGGCGCGGAGAGGAACGCGGCGACGACGACAACAAGGCCAAGCACGACTCGCCCGCGCGCAAGTGCAGCATCTCGAGCTCGGGCGACGACGCGGCGTGAAGATTGTTAGGCTATACTTGCGCGTCGAGGTGCGCGAGGGCCGTTATAGCTTCCTCGCGGCCCTTGGCAGCGGCGCGCTCGAACCAGTATCTGGCTTTGCCGAGGTCGACTTCCGTGCCTTCTCCGTCCATGTAACAGCAGCCAAGGTTGAGCTCCGCATCGGTATAGCCTTGATCCGCGGCGAGCGCGAAGTACCGGACCGCTTTTTCAAACTTCTTCCCAGAATCAAGGAAAATCCCTAAATTGCATTGCGCGACTGCGTCGCCCCGATCTGCGGCCGCGCGATACAGCTGCTCCGCCTTCTTCTTGTCCAGTTTGACGCCACTTCCAGTCTCATGCAATCTCGCAAGGTGCCTCATCGCGTCCACGTTCCCGAGCTCCACGGCGCGCTTCCAAATTTTCGCGGCTTTCTTATCGGATTTCACGAGGCCGTACCGACCGCAGCGGTATGCAATTCCCAAATGCGAGATCGCTTCCGGTACGTCGTTCTCCACATGGCGGCGCAGACGCGCGAGCAGCTCCGCATGGGCTTTTGGGGCCGGTAATCGACAGAGGGGACACGCGCCGAAGCCGATCTTCTCCTTGCACGATTGGCAGACCGTTCGGCAGCAACAGATGCGAAGCACGCTCGGCGCATTCACGTCCCACTCCTCGAGACAGATCGGGCACCGCGAGCCGTACCGCGCCGAGAGCGGCTCCCGCTCCGGGTTCGCCACGCGTCGCACGCGGGCCGCCTCGTGTTCCGCCGCGATGCGCGCGCGGATCTCGTCGGCGTGCGACCGCGGCGCGGGGCCGTAGAACACCTCGCGCGGTGGCGACGGCGGGGGCGTCGGCGCCTCGGCGCGCGCCGCCTCCGCGGCCTGGATCTTCTTGCAGACCTTCCGATGGCCCCGGTCGCGCCAGTCGATGCGTTGGCAGTCCGTCGAACAGTAGGCCGTCGTGCCGCACCCTCGGCAGGCCTTGGCCTTGTCGGCGCCGCAGATCGTGCAGGTCTTGAGAGTGTCGAGTTTTTTGCCCCTCGCTCGGGCCATGCGATTCTCATACTCCAACTTCTTCTCCTGCCACGACATGACTTCGCGCGCGTCGCGAGCTCGTACGTCGTCCTCGTCGGACCTCAACAAGTCTCAGCAGGCAAAATCGCTCAGTCGATCCAGAAGCAGCGGCTCTACCGCGAGTGGGGCGTCGCCTCCGTGCGCGCGGTCGCGCGGATCAAGATCGAAGGCCTCGGCCTCATCGGCGCCCCGTCGTCGATCCCGCGGCCCGACTACGGCCGGGACGCGGCCGCGAAGCGGGCCCGCGACGCGGCCTACGCCCGCGCGGCCCGCGGCACCGGCGGGACCTTCGGCGTCGCCTACGAGCAGTAGCCGCCCTACGTCGTCGTGCCCTCTTCGTCGCCGTGCTCGCGTACGCCTCCGCCCTAGTCGTGTCCTCCCGTGACGCTTCCCTACGCCCCCCTTCGCTGTTCTCTCCCCCTTCGGTTCTTCCCTGCGCCGCGGCTAAGCAAAATCGCTCAAAATCTAGCC